GAAAGAGTGGTTGAAAACTAAAATAACCCATGTTTTATTTTGAACTCCTTCACATGCATTAATTCAACCCCAAAAGCAACCAGTGCTTTGTAAAGATGACATTTTAATGAGATAGAGTTGTGTACCCTGTTTTTTCCCCATTATTTATTAAGAAGGGTTATACTCATTACAAACATAATTTTCTTTTACAATGAAAACCCAAACCACTGCAGTGTGTTTGACTGAAGATTTCAGTCTGACAGCAAATCCTGTCTTAGGTGATTTTACTTAAAAGTCATAAAAGTTTCCAACTGGATTGGTTTATGGACTTTGATAAATGTAAGGGTTTAATATCAAGCTTAAGGTCAAGATCTCACAGGTTTTAGGTTGAATTGCTAATATTTCACAGTTCTAGCTCAGACTTTCCCAAATGCCTCAGACATAACACTTTTTCTTATTCCTCTCCTTGGGTGTTAACGTAGTGTTGACCATGATCCCGATCACTTGATGGCATCTTGAAGCTGCTTACCTCATTAAATTGTGACGTATTGCATTCTGTATTTCTTAGGACATAAAAGCATGCTGCTCTGCCATTGTAGTGAGTTGTCCTCAAATGACAGAATTCTGAAAGATCAGGTCTGGATACAATTGAAGTGTCTTTTTCACTTGGCTTCCAGCTGTCATCACATGCATTTGAACATCCGTAATTAAAGGGAATTAATATGAGAGCAGGTGCAAACAAAAGTTCACAATTTCAGAAGAGAAATCAGTGATCACGACAACACAGTAGAGTGTGTGTTCACTCTGGTCTGAAGGCTGGCTTTCCTGGGGTGGGGGTCCATGGTACGTCGCAGAGCAGCCAGGGCACACCTCAAACTGAATAAAAAGACAACCTCTTCGTTGTCTGCATTATTCCACTTTGCCATAAATAGGGTCAACTCTTTTACTTCTGTAGAGAAACAATCTAGAAGAAGTGGAGAGGTGCCAACCTGTACACTGCCAAAATTGCAACAGTGTTGGTCAGAAAGCATAGCTCTCTCTTATTTTCCAACAGTAAATTATTGAATCTGCATCCATGCAGCTCATGGTATTTTCACTGCCTATTGACCCAAATCTTCATACAAGCTCAGGGAACACCACAAGAGAAACTAGCACTGTCCTCTGAGAAACAACCGTCGCGCTCTCATACTGCTCAGAGCTGGTAATAGCAGCTTTCAAGCCACAGCTGGGTTAATTCAGGCCATTTATTACATTTGGCGTAACTGAACTTGTGTGAGAGATTCAAGTGGCAAAATAAGCAGCCCCATTCTTAGAAAATGCAGTTTGCCAAGGATTGCCAAGCAGTTTAGACCAATTGCAATTCAATCCCCAGAGCGAGCCTGGGATTCACACGTGACTGGGGCACACACACACGTAGCTCTAGCTTCCAGTTAGAGAACCTTCTTTTTTGGTTAACATTTCACAGCAAACCAAAGCCAGCTGACACCTCCTCTAACGTAGCATCTCCTGCTGTTAGAACCGCAACCAAGCATCAAGAAACCTCCAAAGCACCTTCTGCCACGGTTCAGCCTGTGTCTGTACCTGTCCAGCCTGTGCCAACACCAGTTAACCAGGTAGGGGTTATAAGACACCTTCTATAAAATTTGTCTATATTTCCCGAGATGCTGAATCACTAATTCTGGGACAGCTTCTATTTCACTAAAATTAACAACTCTGTTAATCATGTTACGTAAGGAAGTTTTCCAGGAGGAATATAACGTCATTTTGATTTCACCGAGCAGGATCAACAGGGTGATATTCCACCTCTGTGAATTGTTTGGTTTTAAGAATTACAGTAACTGTCATACACATGACTTGACTTCACTTTTCCTTATTAACACCCATAAATATTTTGTAAGGAAGAATTTTTGAAAGGAGACTACCACCAAGCAGCCTCCACAGATTTGCCTTAATGAAGTATTAATGAAAGATGCTATAATACACCGCAGTGAAGCTTTCCTTGCCACAATTAACTCAGTAAGGTGACAACAGCATTTTTGTTCCTCAGACTGTAACCCATCCAGAAAGATCACTAGCAGTTGTCTGCAACAGAGCAACTTTTATTCATTGCATTAAATATTTTGCTTTGGGCTTCCCCCACCAAAATCTCTTTTGTGTCATTCCAAAAGTGTGTTTCTCCTGTATATGGAAAAATAACCTCTGTACACCCAAATGTTATCATGGGATGTTTTGCAATCTACAGGCTCAAAGCCCCACTAACTACTTGCAAGGACTGGATGGAAGACCTATAATTGCTGCTCCTGTATTTACAAAGGTAATTTCTGCTATGACATAGTTGAAAACTAAAGAGGACAATTCATTACATGGAGAGATAATTCAAATTTTCTAGCTACCAAAGATAAACCAAAAGGAATTATGCATTTCTTAAGCCATTCAAGGATTTAAGCAGCTTTACGAAATGTTACTGAAATCAGTATTACTCCCAGATCAACAAGACATTTACTGACTATTCCTCTTCTCTATTAGATGTTACAGGATATTTCAGCTTCTGAGGGGCAGCTTGTTGTCTTCGAATGTCGGGTGAAAGGAGCTCCCTCCCCAAAGGTAGAATGGTACAGAGAAGGAACACTGATAGAAGATTCTCCAGATTTTAGGATATTACAGAAAAGTACGTTTCTTCTGGGAAAATAACATGTCTAATAAAATATAGGCAAGCAACAAAAATGCTAACATGCTAACATGGATTGCTTATTTCTGCACAAAAGTAAGCTGAGGCACACATTAGCGTGCTTAGACACACATGTGTGCGCACATGATACACGATAGGTCGTAAACATATCCTTCTACCTGAATTTTCAAATGCAGTTGAAACATCTGCCATTTCCTCTAAAGTCAGTGGAATGACAAAATTACTAGAACTCAACAGAAATTCCTTAAGTAGCACAATAAATCAAATCTCAGGGAAATGGTGTTTACTCAGAACTTGATTTCAGGTGCATAACAGTTTCAGAAATTGTCTTCAAGATACAGTAAAGCAGTACTAAGATTGCAGAAAAATACTTATTACAGAATTTGTTTCCTACTCATAAGTTCTCACAAGTGTTCATACTGTTCAGTGGATTTGACATACTCTTGAGTACAAGGCCTGGCTGTCTCCACTGCCTCTTAAACAGAAAATTGGATCAAAGAGGAGTATTCAGTCATATTGAGAAGATTAAGCTTCATACTTAGTGCTTATAAAAAAAATCGGCAAAAGAAAGTATATTCAATGTATTAATTCTGCTCTTCTTCCCTTTAGAACCACGATCTATGGCTGAACCAGGTGAGGATCATCAAAAGGCTCATACTTCTTTGATTATGCAAATGTGATTTAACCTCACAAAATACTCATTATTTAAACTCCATAAATTAATTCACAAAATTTCTTATTTTCCTCATGTTCTCTAGCCACTAGTGATATGCATTTCACTGTAGACTGTTCCATAAACATATAATTTGAATTAATTCTATCACTTTTGCAGAAAATAATGTTTCCATTCTGCTTTGACCCACTTCTGAGGACCTTATGAGCTAAAGATTAACAAGATTAATGTATGAGGGTTCTCTGCACATTTGAGGTTCAGAAGCACACCAGATGATGTAGGGCCAGGCTATTTTTATCTAGTTCACCAGTTAGGGAACACTGCATCAGATGTTTAGCCATGTCAGCCATTCCCTTTGCTCCCAACCAGCGTAATATGAGAGTATCACATCAGGTGTTCCACCCCTGATATCAGCAGATCATATAAAAGTGGCTGGATTTGCTAATTTCAAGGGTCAGAGCAGAGTGTAGGCAAAGGGGCCTTATGGATTTCGATTACTTCACCATGAGAAAACCACTCTCCCCGTTATGCTTTTCACTATAAAAGCATAAAGCTGTCCCTCTTAAGATAGAAAATTACCACAGGAGTACTAATGCTTACAGAATATAAACTTCTGTAACTCTTCTCCTCACCCTATTAAATGGGGTTTTTTACTCCAAAAAGTAAAAAGAGACTGCCTCTCTCTGCAGTGTCTCTTGCTGAGACCTAGGAATGAATAAATGGAACTTCTACCAGAAGCCACTGATGCTGTTCCTTTAGTGTCCAGTGGCATCACTGCTGAGTAATGCGAAGCAGTTTTCGGAGGGTCATCACTTGGGTGCAGTTGTCACTGCCTCATCACCTGCTGCTCATTCAGAAGGAATCTGGATTTCCATGCACGCAGCGGTTGGCAGGTCCAAGTACTACAAACTAGATACTATAATGCCCTAAACTAGTTTTATAATCCTGGCACTATAATAAGCTATTATTCTCCTAGAGTTGTTAGCAAATGATCTCTTTGTTGCTACTAGACCCTTCCTCGTGATGACATAAAACAATCAAGTTTAAGCATGGTATGGTCTTCTACAGTTGTACTCACAAAATACCAATCCTGGAGGGGTTTAGGAAAGCTTCTTGTAAAACAGCAGCAAAACAGTCACTGACGAGTTGAAGAAATGTTCTCAGCCCACATTTCAATACACTTGAGATGTTTTTCTCCCTCCCTATCCCAGCTAGCCAGCCAAATGAAAGATTTAAAATCCCGTATCGCCACGGGCATTTATTAGCTGGTATTGCTGCCTGGACATGACAGACACTAATGCCATAATGCCAAATCTACTTTTCAAGACAGAATTTAATTTTTGCTGGTACAATTTTGCTAGCACATTTTTGGTGCCCTCACAAAGAAGTGAAAAGGCAACTTTCTATGAGCACAAATAGCACAATCCCCTCCATCCGCAAAACCACACAGGTACTTCTGGGAAAGGCCAGCCTGCACGTGTGCATTCTGTATTTTTCACTTACTCCACTTGAACTGCTCCCAGTTAATTGTGACTAATCTTTCAATCTGCAAAGAGAGAAAAATACCTACATTTCCAAAAGTTGCGAGTATAGAGTACACTGTATTTCTCCAAATTAAATTTTAAGTTCTTCAGAGAGAAAGTCTGTATTTCATGTGATTAGGAAACCATTTTCTAATGTTTTCCAAGCCCTGCTGGCACCTGTTCTTCAGTTTCATTGGGCATGCTGGGGCACAGAGGGTACCAGTTGCTGCAGACAATGCTGCTAACAGCTGCTGCACACAAAGGCTGCCAAAATTGATAATACTAATGAAACCGAAATCAAACCAAGCAAGGTGGAAATGTCCCCGAGGGCAGTCAAGGCTTTGTGTGTTTGTTCAATGCATGTTCCCTTCAAGTAATCGTACTGCTCCGATGCTTTGCAGAGGAGATCTGTACTCTCGTTATTGCTGAAGTGTTTTCAGAAGATTCTGGCAGTTTCACCTGCACGGCAAGCAATAAGTACGGCACGGTATCTAGTATAGCTCGCCTCACTGTCAAAGGTAAGCGTTTGGTTTACTCCTTTGCTTGCTTGCAAATACAAGCAGAGCAGGCTGCTGCCATTTTGGGGATCTCCGTGGACCACCTAGTTTGCTGTTTCAGTAACCCTGTGGTGCAGAGCCCGAAGAAGGAAACCTCAAAGCAGATCCTGCCCCTTCCATGTGCAGGATTTCTGCTGCCAAGGCACTGAGCAGTTAGGTGAGCACAGGACAGGACATAAAAGCGTAGTGCACTGTTGGCTCCAGTCCGGCTTGAGTTCTGGCAGTATTCTTTGTGACTAAAAAGTTAGAGAATTCTCTGCAAAGAAAGTTTGTATTTCAAAGTGGAATTCATGGGGCCTGTGGCTGAAGACCAGTGCTGGACCTTCCGAACTAGAACTGTATCTCTTTTCCCCCCATCTTTACAATATTCCTTTGTTAAGGGAATTTGTTGTTAAACAAGTCAGGTCAAACAACTCAGCCCAACAGCTGGAAGGATGTCAGAATGAGCTTTTCCAACTGTAATTATAATTTTTTAATTAATCTCACTACAATTTTTACGGTATTTACACATCACCAAAAGTTTGGTATTTGCCATTGCAGCATCTGAAGACAGCAGTAACACCGCTACCCTTCACACAACAAGCTCAATCAACTTAATTGCTGCTGAACATCAACCTTCCCCAAGTACTCCTTCCCATCAGGGAGTACATCAAGCCCCCAAACCTAAACTCGAAGGTGTTCTCGTGAACCACAACGAGCCCAGATCGAGTTCCAAGATAGGTCTCCGTGTGCACTTCAAGCTGCCCGAAGATGACAAAGGAAGCGAATCATCATCAGAGGATGGACCTGGTTCGACAAACCAGGTCAGACCCAACCATTTCCAGGAGAGGATAAACGGACAGCCAATGAAAATACCTGAGCCAACATCACCATCCAAGGAACCACCCCCCGTCCTGGCTAAACCAAAGCTGTAAGTAAATGAGATTTTAACTCCTGGGAGCATCACTGATATTACTTAGTATTCACAGAGCAGGACACTGTTGCTTTAGAGCAAAAAACTCAAACACACAACAAGAAGCCAGCCAGTATCGCATGGTGCTGGCCTAATTAACCATACTCTTAGAAAATGTGTTCGACAGAACTCGATTCTTTTTTCTATATCTCCCTCTTGGGAAAAGTGTGCACTGATTTTAAAAGGAAAATGTTCGTACTTTGAAATTTTATTTAGTTCCGCAATGCTTTCTGCGGCAAACAAGAGGTGAACAACAATGCTTTTACAGAGGCAAGATAAAAGTAGGTTCTTCAAATACATCCCACTCAATTCTGAATACACTGTTTTGCCAAACCCAGACATAGCATGGGCTAGCTACTGTAATCTCAAAGGCCACACCTCATTATTTTTATGTCCCACAAACATAATCTCCTCCTAAAACCAATAAAATATTTGGAAATGTTTGATAACATGAAACCACTCGAACTAAAAGCCACCTGCATGATCAGTGCACTGTGGGCTCAAGGGGAAGTTCTAAGAAGTAGTGTAGCTTTCTTTCAGGACAGTGTATGGAATTCACACTGCCGTTTATGAAGAAAAATCTTTTCAGCATTTTTGACTCAACTACAAGCAAACAGAGTCCTTCGTTTCATTTCTGAAACAGGTAGAAGCTTTAACTAAAGGCTCGGGAAGGACTTCATAACGTAATTCGTTGGTACTGTTAAGCAGGGATGTAATTTCATAGCATAAACATCACAAGTGAGAAGGCAGAACTTACATACCACATAGCAGAGGAAGGACCTGGAGCAGTGTTTTTCAGACTTGTTAAGCCCACATTCACAGCCCTACTTACTTGCCAGGGGAGAAGTTAGCCTGTTTTCTGTATGCTGTACTTCCATACACATAATAACTAAATAACCACTTGACAAGGCAAAATACTTGTCCTTCACTGAAAAGTCAAAAAGCCCTGAAGACATTTACAGCAGACAGCATTTAGGAAACAACAACCACATGAAATGCAAGTCCTCTCTCAACTGTGCACTCCTGCCTGCCAGCAAATGTCAACACCCCCTAAACTACACTGATAATATCTCTTTTGGTGGATTATTACAAAGTTTTATTAGCCCAAATGCTGGTTTCAGAACCCACTGTAGTAGGAGCTAAATAACTGCGATCTGGCTTACAAACGCTCATTTCAAATCTGACAACCAAATCCTATTCTTAGTTACAAAACCAGAGAGGTATTAAGGTGACAAAGAGCAGAATTTGATGATGCTACCCTTTAAATATCTCCAAGTAAGATTTATATTTAATGTGTTAAAACGTAAGAATCATCTTCAGTCAAATGATTTTCAGATTCTTGGGCCTCTGGCAAAAGAAGGGGAGAGGAAGGAGAAGTTTATTTCAGTAAAAAACTAATACTCTGCTCTTCTCAGGGTGTTAGAGAATATGTCAGGTGGCAGTTTCTCCTACCTCTTACAGGATACAGAGTTTTTCTCTCCCGATTCACCTATGGAAATGTAGTCAGCCAGCATGTTCAATGCCCATGACTAATTTTGCTCCTTTTTGTTTTCCACGCAGCGATCAGACACAGTTAAAACAGCTCCACAACCAGGTCTTGCTTGAGCAGCAGCAGGTGCACCAGGCAGCTATGAGAGAGTTGTCATTCAGCTCAGCTTTACTGAATTCTGCTACTTCGCTCCACCAACAGTCCACCTCAACCACGTACAAACAAAGCAAAGCCTCTGCCTCGCAGACGTTCGGCTACACCCGACCTAAGCAGTTCCTACCCCCACAAACCACACTGCCTGCCACCTCCTCTCCTGGCTCCCCAGTTACAACGCTCAGCAACATCCCTCAAGGAACTCAAAGAGCAAATAACAAGGAAAATTTCACAGGAAATCCTCCGCCAGCCCAAGCAAGGTCTGCAGGAGGGTTTCCAAGCAAAAGCGAACAGTCTCTACTGAGCCCTAAAGAATCCACGGTGCCTCCGCTAACACTTCCCACGTCTAATGCAAAACAGTTCCAGCCACAGAGCGTGACTCCTGCTCCTGTCTCCCCAACCGGCCGGATCCAGAACCCAGTAGCATTTCTTAGCGCTGTTCTTCCTTCATTTCCTACCGCACCATCAACCAATGCCATGGGGCTGCCCAGAAGTACACCAGCCACGTAAGTAGCATAAACTGCACATGTGGGAGCAGGGACAAGAAATACTCATGGAGGAAACTAAGATGTATTTGGGTTCAAGGGTTTGGTGGGGAGTTTATTGACATGTGAGTCACTTGTACATCTGAAAAGCAAGTTTTTCATCCATTCTGGTCATTTCATTTAAACTTTACAGTCAGTTACAAAAGGAAGGGAGAGTAGAATCCCTAGTAAGATACTTCAAGATAGAGAAATGTGAGTTTATAAACCAATATTTATAGTCATAAGACTGCACTAGTGGGAGAAGAGAGATTTCAAGAACTTGCAGGGTAAGTCACTCCAAGACCATTTGCCTATATGAGCTATAAAAACATTCTTACTTATTGTAAGCAATAAGTAAAGTTTTAAAAGATACCTCAAGATGTAACCTCAAGTTATTTCTTAGTCCAGATAAATCTAAGAAATAACTTTTGTAGGGGTATTTTTCTGGTTGCAGTACTTTCTAGTTCTAAGGTGCCCCAGAAAATCTCAGGAGAGTTATTGGTTTGGATGTAAATATTTTAACTGACAGCCAGCATGATTTCTGTGGCTAAAAGGCTACCACCACTCAAACGAGTAAGGATGATGATGTACTGGAAAGGTTCTGGTGTTCAAAGTTCCTTCTTTAGTGACAGAGTTGGAAATTAATATCTCTTCTGTGTACTATGTGAACCCTGTGTTAGCACAGCTAGCGCCAGTTGATTGATACAACTTTTCTCCGAAGAAATGCAAGTTCTGCACCGAGTAAGGAATATTTCCCCGTTACCAAAGGCACACTTTCAAGGCAGTGATGGCCAGCACTGAGTCACAATCTCCTGACCCTCCTGCTGATACTGCATGAACCAATCTGTAATTTTAACAGAAGAAACTGCCCCTGCATACATAACATCCACCACTCAGTGTGACTCTGTGTACCAAGAAACTCCTGCACTCAGGCCACATCATGGCCCTTAACACTTAACCCTTGAAAAGTGCTTTACTCTTTCTAACTGCAGCACGCGCATCACCAAATAAATCCTTACCAGGTGCAGTACTTAAATTCCATTTTCTTCATTTCACTTTTGCTGGGTTCCAGCCCAGAGCTGAATCCCCACATAACTAGAGCTCATCATGCTGAGATTCTACATGGGAGAGAATCAAAGTGAGGGCACAGAAGGTCAGGAAGGAACCTGAACAGCACCTGTGCTAATCTGTGAATCCCTACTGAAGTTTCAGCTTCCTTTGTTTGGTGTGTTCAATTATAATAACTCTGGTTTCAAAAGCAGTGAAAGATCACCATGCCTGCAGAACAATAAAGGGAAGATACCCTGCACAGCACTCATCAGTTACACCTTTTACCTAGACCCTCTGTTCCTGAGATTCCAACTCCTGGTAAACTACTAGCACATTGCACATTCTCTAGTAGTGTGCGGCTGCTGCGCTTCAGCAGTGCACTCTCACAGTCTCCCAACAGCCTTATTTAAGAAGTTTACTATTTTCAAACCTTAACAATATAAAACAGACTACGTCTATCAAATAAAAATGAAAAGAACTGTTGATGTCAGGTGTCCTAAAAGGATAAGAGAAATGAAACAAGTAAAAGTTCATGGAAAGAGTAAATGATCAATGGAGAAGTGAGATAAAGATCAATGAGAAATTACACTAACTTTTATCGCGTGATACAGTAAAACGTACAGATTTTATACCTACAGTAATGCCTTCGGATGCTTTTTTTAGCATTCACAGTGACATCACTATTACTGGATAAATATAAATGGAACTTAGATGTTTATTACAATATTATAATGCTTGTGCCCTGTAAGATGTGTGTCCTTAATTCCTACTGGCACAGGAGTGGGATGCACCATTAAAATAGTACCAAAAAAAAAAATCCAATCCCATACTGTGCTTTGGCTTCTACATAAATAAATAAAAAACAGGTTCCTCCAGACAACTGAAGCATAACATATCATGTGAGTGACAAAAAAAATATATACTCTTTGCTGCATGTTAGTATCAGAATTTTCTTTTAATAGGCCTGCCCAGGGTTTAACAAAGAAAAATCTGAAGCCACTGCCATTAGTAACAGATGATTCTATTCGGGAAAACAAAGCAGCGCTTGTAAAGGACCTGGAAAGAAAACTGCACTTCAGAGAGGATGTTAATCAACAGAGCAGTCAGCAGGTAAGAAAACTGAGTGTTATTTAAAATAAATTTCACTCATGAACAAGACCTGTATTCTGAGTTGTGGAACAAAAGGTGTCTCTGTGGTTGAGCTGCTATCGTACTTTGCAGAGTGAGCTTTTGTGGCAAGTGCTGGTTTGGAATAGTAAACTGGAGCTTTAACTAGGAAGTAGGAGGGGATGCCGCTGCAGAGGGTTCACTTTGTGACTGAGGAGCATTTTTCACTTCTGACCACCTCTATCAGAGGCCGGTAGGGATGTAAAACTTTTTCTTTTCATGGAAGCTTCTGCAGACTGGATTTTGCTTTATCAGTTTGCAAGTTGCTCTACTCATTGCACGCATACACTTTCATACACTCTACTTTTAACACAAATTAAGGAGTAAAGTAATCAAACTGTTAAAGTAAAGGTTTCAGTTTTTACTGTGGTTGAAGTAAAATGTGGTATTTAATTCTGAGCATTAAATCTATTTTTCCAAATCTCCTGACATATGAATTGACAAGTACTTGTTAGGAACTTAACAAAGTTTTTGGTAGTTATTGCTGGCGTATACAAAATTTGAGGTCCAGAATTATCAGAATTTGAAAAATTTCAAAGGAACTAAATATCAGTTCATTCTCAGCTAGAATCAATAAATTCACTGGATCTGGGCAGTGTCTATGAAATTAAAGTAGAAATAAAAATCTAAATAGTATTTTGATGTTGAAATCACTGTAAATCATGTTCGATCACCCTCAAATCAAGAGCAGGGTGTGCTAAGGACTGCCTGATGGCTGTTGTGTCTGTAGGCAATGATGCTGCTCTCACCTTGACCGTGGAGCCCTCCATAGCTGTCCTGCCAGCCCAGCAAACCGTGTTTCACCCTCGTCTGTCGTCAGCGAGGGAACTTTCACAACGGCTGTTAGTCCTTCCAACAGAGAACATGCAAAGATAAGCAAAAAGCCATGGAGCCTCTGGAGCAAATTACCCTCTGTGGATGACTGCAGCGTAATCCCTGGGTTTTTTTAATTCTGCTGTTGACCTTTCTTTCTGACAGATCATGCTGCCAAAGCACTTTGAGTAAAACAACTGGCAAGCGGTACGTTTTGCAGATGAATCACAAGTGTTACAGTTTGTACTTGCTATGGTAGTAAGACAAATTATTTCGAGAGCTGCTGCAAAATACCAATCAGGCTTTCGAGTTAACTGCATGATAAATGCTTCAGAAACAATGATCACTACTAGTGTCAAAGTTATCTGCTGACAACAAAAGTCATTTATACATTTATCTGATATTCTGTATAAGACCAAAGCAAAATCTTGATTTCCAAATCCCCCAAACACTAAAAAACTTCTAAGCTGGCACTTCTCTAATTGTTACAATAATTAGAATGCCATTGGTAACGAACTAGGAAACAGCTTTAGGACTGCTCAATAAAAGTTCCCTCAGTGTTCCCTCAGTTCCCACCTTCAATCACTTCTGACTGTATTCTTCCACATCCAGGAAAACCCCTGCTCAGATTGACTCCTGCAAATTCAAGTCTGAGCTTTCTCCTCAGTGAAAGCAGTGATTATCTAAAGAGTATTTTCCACAATTCCTACTGCTTTGCCATTTATAGAACAACTAACATTGTGAGAATAATATGCTGGAGTGCTGGGTTCACACTCACAGATTTTGTCCTGTCTTTTCCTCTTGTAGTTAACACAAAATTAAAAAGGAGACATTTTCATCCTATATATAGCATATCTACATTAAATTGGTTACTATAATGGGAAAGGCTTCTTATTCACTTTCTCATACATAAGAATGCAACTCTCCTCTGTGCAAGAGATCACCACATAATGAAAGAAGGACAGCATCCAATAAGAATCTCAAAGCATTGGCTTGCTCATACATGCTATTTTAACAATTCCTTCTCCTAAACCATGTCCTATAGCATATTCTTATTTAGACAATTGTACTGTAACCCCATACTTTGATAGCAGTGTTTGGTCTCATTTACAACATCAACTGAGCACATTGGGATGAAAGCTGCTGTTGAGAGGCCCGTGCCTTAAAGTACTGTTATTGTCTTATAACACTATATAAGGAGCAGTAATGAACATGAGTGATTTACATGCTGGTGCTCTATTTATTATCCACTGTTGACTTCCACATGAAAAGTGTTTAGCTTACAAGTCAAGATTTTCCCAAGTGTCAGCACTATGCACTCAGCATGATATCTAATAATCCAGATGTACTCCTGTTTCATGCAGCACATCATTCATCACCAACAACAAAGAAATCCAGAATCAGAACATGGCTGGTAGTTTTGCTGATGTTGCAGGAGACCGATTAGTCTCTGGTCTTCTACAGCTATGAGAATCATGCAGTGCTGACAGAAATGCAAATATGATTTTGCCAAGTTTCAAGCTGCAACTTTGATCAAGTACGTGCAAGAACAAGCTAACATTTGTACCAGAAAAAAATACCTTACCTGTCAGTTATGCAGGTGGTAGTATGCTGTAACACCAGGTGAAATTTCATCACTGTTAGGAATGTTGAAAAAAAAAACGTGGTTCAGTTATACCAAACATCTTCAGTCAGATTTGCTCGGTTCTTTCAAACAGAAGATACACTAAATGAGGATTAGCTTTGCACCACTGCAGGAAGAGGTTAGGACAAATCCCAGGATAGAGGAGACTTAACTCCGTTTCTTCCTTGGCCTGAAAACAGTCAAATTCCTAACTCTTAATTCCCATAGGGACAGCCTAACTCCTTGCCAGTGGGCACGTGCACTGTTGGTGCTTTCCCAGGTTGCACAAATAACTGAGTGTTCTTTATCAGCAGGA